ACTCCCCCCAGATCTCCACAACTCCCCCCAACTACTTATAGTATCCGCCCTCGGATACGCCTTCGTCTTCCCCAACGTACTCCCCCCAACTACTTATAGTATCCGCCCTCGGATACGCCTTCGTCTCCCCCAACGTGTTCTCGAAAAAAACTTCTGCCTTATAGTTATACACACATATCTACTATATTAAATCTTACAAACGATATAAATATGTCCTGTAATAAAAATCCCTAAATGATGAGTCGATGACGTCCTGTCCCCCTAAACAAAACAAAACAAATAAAATGATGGCTCCTTCCCTACAAATCCATCCTCTGTGGTGGTTTACGGGCTCTCGTCCCCCGCCTCAACTTCTCCTCAGCCTTCCCCTTTTCCTTTCTCGACTCGCTCCTACTTGCGATTGTTTTAACCTTCCCCTTCTCAACCCTTTTCCAGCTAGGTCTCCTCCGAGCACAGACAGTGCAGTACTGGCACCATCTCTCGATATCTTTCGTGTAGTTTGGCCTGTAGAACCGTTGCTGTATGCTGGATCTACTCCGCTTCTCCCCTTGATGTCCTGCTGTACATGTAGTTGCTGAAATATTTCTCTTTTTAATTCCTTAGGTATCACCAGCTGAAGTATGGGATGACTTGGCGTGACCGGCGTCTCCCATCGTCTATACAATTTACCTTCCTGTACCTCTAACTGACTCCACTGCCCCCAGTACGCTTTCGCCTCCGATCCCATTCTTGCAATCTCTGCAAACTCAGGTCTCCCCAACGCCGCTTCTTTTCGCTCCTTGAAGAAAACAACTACAGGGTCCTTATCCTGTAACCTCCTAATATTTTCCGGGTTCCATACATCATGGGCTTCCCCTTGACCCTCGGGATTCTCTCTGCGATCCTCTCGCTCTCCCTCGGTCACTACTAGCACCTGCCCGCGCTGCTCCTTATCTCCACATGAAGAACCGTCTCTCCTCCCCTTACGACTGGGTGGTTCATACCTCCATGTAGAATCCTCTGCTCCCCTAATACAGCTGGGTGGTTTATCGCTATTACTCTCCTCGTCTTCTTCCTCCTGAACGTGCGTTTCCTCTTCCCCTGATTGCATCTCCATTGCTGGTCGGGCATCCGTTCCCATCATTCCATGCCTGCTATCTGGGCAGTTCTCGCTCGGGCATTTCCCGACTGTCTTATGTGACAATGCATCCGCATTCTGGTGATGCTGTCCCTGCTGTGTCTCACTCTCCTCCACTGGTTTGAGTTCCTCTACCTGCTGATCCTCCACCAACAGGGTAGGATTCCCTCCTGTGTGGGAGATAACCAACGGTACCTTCATCACATCCCTTGGGACTACTGTCTGCTTCCCCCGAATCCCTTGTGTCTCCAGCTTCTGAAATTCTGGGATAGGCATTAGCTTTACCTGCTTCCCTCTGGATACCTTATCGTCTGCATAAGTCCATCCAGGGATTCTGTATCTCTTCCCTGGCTTCAGCATCGTCGTCTCATCCACGTATACTGGTCTACCATTCTCTCCTCCTGTCCAAAATCCTTGAATTTCTTTCCCGTCAAGTGATAGCATTCCTGTAGTCATGTTCATGATAGCATTGTTCGGGACGAGAAAGTCGAGTCCCAAAATCCCATCTAAATCCTCTAAATGTGCAATGACCATTGTTTTTCTATTGTAGGTATGATCGGCGATTTCTAGACGGACAACAGTCTCTCCAGGACTATCCATCGCTTCGCCGTTCGCCATCTTCAGATCTCTCTTTTTCGTTATCAGCTGTAGCCCGGTGCGTGCTTTGATGTCATTGAACCTATCCTCATGTATCAGCGTCGTACTTGCTCCACTGTCGATTAGAAAGTTCATTTTACATCCCTCTACTTTCACAGGTATCACCCACGTGGGATGACACTGCAATGGTGCTACGGAGATGATAGGTATCCGTGTGGCTTCAGCCTTGCCTGAACTATTGTCTCTTTTTATCGGTATTTTAATCTCTACGTGTTTCCCTGCATCCTCAACTTCTATCTTGCCCTGCTGAGAGAGTGTGAAACCAGTAGACCGTGGTATAGCTCCCTCAGTCGGCTTACTATGGGCCAGGCTACCGATGCCGAGAGGAGTCAGCAACCGTTAAACTAGGACGGGCTAGGAAAAGAGGCTCCAGTCCGCTGTGCGCGATTCTCTGAAACGTTGCTGTATTGCGCTCGTCGCGGGCAATCTCTCTGCAT